GACATAGCGTTTTTTAAATAAATCCTTCAAAAGACCCCCCCTGATCTAAAATACACATTGTAATTGTAATTACTATAGTACAAAAACTTGCTTCCAAAGTCTTCCTGTCCTTTCTGTCCTTCCCTTTCTCCCTTCACCCCCCTCCCCTGCCCCTTGAAGAGAGCCCGTAAAGGGACCACACCCCTTTCCTGCCAGATAGCTGGACAAAGAGTTTCCCTTTCTTTACTTCTGACTCTCTGATGAACTAGTTTTAAGCGACCCTCCAGCAACAGCCGGACCTTAGTAAGATATAAAATCCTTTGTGATGCCTAAAATCTTTGGAAACATATTTTTGAAAGTTGGTGAAATTTCACAAACACGTCTGTTGTTCTGGAGATCACCCAGTAAATTAGTGTCCCTTTTTCCAAAAGCAACAAACATTGTTCTGAACACACTAAACCTCTGCGACTGATTCATTTAAAATCGTGGCTTTGCTTCAGGGAGTTAAATAGGTAGTAATCTGCAATGAGTACTGTATGAAGGCTTAAGAGTACATTTAAAATATAACTTCAGCTTAGAAATACTGATTAAGAAAATGTAAAAGAGAGAAGAGCTGCATCATGTATTCCAGACTAGTGACTGTTGTATTCAGCAGGACGGCTGACTCGCTCTTACTACAAAGTTTTTGCAAATAAATCTCTGACAAACTTCAGGGCAGATCAAAAAACCTGTGCCTGACATTTTTCATTCCCAAATGTAGTGCTTTTAATTAGGAACCTTCTGCATGTCCATTCTGCGTGAGGGAGGGTCCGGGGGTTTCTGCGGGGAACTGTGACTCTCTGCCACCGTGAGGCGAGCCGGGCGTCTCGCTATCATTTGCTGCCTTGCCCCCCCACCCCCACCGGGCTGCGAGCCCGGGCTGCCGTGGGACATAGGGGCACCAGTTTCATAATACTGCGTAGGGCCCCATAAATCCTAAGCACGGCCCTGCTAGGTGGGGTCAGGGGATCAGCCCCTGACAGTATCTGCGCTGCAGAGATAATACTCGGCTTAATCTGCTGGGTGGCGAAGCCATAAGTAGCTAATAATTAACCACTGCTTGAGCCACAGAAATGCTCTGGATTGACAACTGTTGGGTAACTAGTCACTGCTGAAACTGAGGCATCATAGCAATGCTGAGGTTGATTTTTTTTAAATTCATTGGTGTGTTTCATAGCCCCTCTAGTGCTAATAAAAAGGGAGATTCCCCACTACCGCAAACCGTGGGCCTGGGAAAAGTGCCCCAGCCTTATCTGTTCTCCAGGATCCTGAGGCCAAATAACCCAGGTAACTGGGCATCCAACTCACCCTCCACCCCCACCCCATCTGCAGGCATCTGTCACTGTCATTATCCAGCCCATGGCCATTAGATGCAGTCAGGGGCCCAACGCCCTGATCACAACTGCTAATCTGCCCGGGATCCACCTGCAGATCTGAGGCCTGGTGCTAAGGGGCAGTGGCAGGCGATGGAGAGTCACTCCCATGCTGGATTTTCCAGGGGAGCTCCGGCCCCCCAAACACACGCACACACACACGACCGCATGCTCCTAAACTCAGCTGGGCCCCCATTCTGCTACCGCCTGCAAAATCCAGGTGCTCAGGGGTGCAAATTCCCTGCCCCTCTTCCAACAAGCGCCCCCCGCCCCCAGATCAGACTCCCCCAGAGCCCTTGGCTGGCCCCCAGCACCTGAGCACCTCCCAGTCGTTACCACAGTCACACACACGGGGATCGCCCCAGTGACCGGCCCCTGCTGCCTCACAGGTGCGAGCAAGTGTGAAGCGAGGGGATAACCTGCTCCCAGGGGAGACGGCTCCTGCCCGGAAGCAAACGGGTTCCGCTCCTGGGGTTGTTTTATTCCCGTAGACACATTGGCTCCTGTCTGCCCATCCGCCGGGCGGCAGGGTGCTCCGGCCCCCACCCTGCACCACAGGTAAATCTGGAGTGACTCCACTCCGGCAGCCAGCCTGATTCGGATTGACGCCGCTGAAACTGAGAGCAGAAATCCGGCTCTGGAGCTGTGGGGCATTTTCCCTCTGGGCCATGACCCGGGGGGCGAAGGGGAGTCTCTGGGCTGCTTTGCCCAGCACAGGGCCCCAGGGCCGGGCGAAGGGGGAAGCTGGCACTGCCCAGGGCTGAGCCACGGCCTCTGCGGGTGCCTGTCCTCAGCGCAACGCTGACACCTCGTGGTCACTTACAGCGTCTCACCCCATCCCCGTCAGCAGCTGCAGCCTGGGGCCAGCCCCCCCATAACGGGCTGCCTCCAGCAGCCAGGAGCAGCCAGGTCCCTGAGCAACCCAGCCCCGCCCCCTAGGGACAGAACCCAGGAGTCCTGGCTCCCAGAGCCCCTCCCCCCCGCTCTAACCACTAGACCCCCTCCCCTCCCAGAGCCAGGGAGAGAACCCAGGAGTCCTGGCTCCCAGACCCCCCGCTCTAACCGGCCCCCCTCCCCTCCCCTCCCCTCCCCTCCCAGAGCTGGGGAGAGAACCCAGGAGTCCTGGCTCCTAGCCCCCCGGCTCTAACCACTAGACCCCCTCCCCTCCCAGAGCCAGGGACAGAACCCAGGAGTCCTGGCTCCCAGCCCCACCCCCCGTTCCTACCTCTGCTACCAACTCAAGCTGTAACCTTGGCCACATCCTTTCCCTGTCGTGTGCCTCCGTCCCTGCGCTGGGAAGTGCGGCCCCCAGGCCGGGGCGTTAATTCGCACCAGGGACCCCACTGGGAGAGTCCTTCTCTGGGGACCTTACGCGCCCACCAGCACACCCAGCCCAGGGATCCCTCCCATGCCCCAGAGCCACCTGCCCTCGGGCCGAAATGCAGCCACCTCTGGGGTGGGTCACAGCAGCGGCGAGGTTTTGGGGGGAACAACGCAGCCCAGCACGGCCCCCCAGGGGCTCCAGCACCCACGCAGACGTCTCGTTGGGCAGCGAAAGGCCTGAGGACCCGGCTCCCCCTGGAGCTGGGGGGCAGGGGTGGCCGTCGCCTTTAGAAAGGTTAATTCACAAGCGCTGGGAAGACAGAGCCCCTGTGCGAGGCCGGCTCTGCCCCCCACTCGAGTCCCCCCCAGTCAAACGGCTGTCATGGGGCGGGGGCTCCTACCGGGCACACGCAGAGCGAATCCGAAGGGAGAAAAGCGAATTGCAACCGCATGAAACCGCCGGGGGGACGCTCTGACCTCGAATCCAAGCAGCCTTCGTTCAGTCCCGCAGCCTTTAACACGTGGCACAGGAGCGTCCACACAGGGGCCGGCTGTTTGGAGACGGGCCGGCCGGGGCAGGTAAAATCAGCCGTAGGAAGCCAGCCCCTAGGCTAGCCCGGAGCCGCCCCTGCCGGGCTGTCACCCAAAGGGGCTGAGAAATCGACAGTGGTTTGAGCAGGGGCCGGGTTAGGAGGGGCGGAAAATCCCAGGGCCGGCTCCACCCAGCGTCGCCAGGATCCCGCTTCCCAGAAAACACCCAGCGGGTGGGGCGCAGCCGCAGCCCCTCGGGGCACTTGCCCCCTCGCCCACCCCAGCAGCCTCCTCCGGGGGGGG